TGGACAGTGATTTGCCCAAAAAAATTAACGCTTGCCCACAATGTGTTTGAAGTCACTGAACTTTGTCGCACTCGAGCTGATATTTTAAAACCCTCGCTCGATCGGACACTCGTAGTTTCGCAGATCACTAAAATATAAACAAAATCCTCAATGTAGAAGTTATTGCGTTGATATGTGGGCAGAAAAAAGGTCAATCTTTATCTAGTAAAATCTTCTCAAAAATCGGTTTCAAAGCAACTATAGTTTTTTAAACTTGCTCGTTTCGCGCAGATATATAAATTTTGCTTTGTGTTGTGAAGTTGAACACGCATATAAACATGTGTCAAAAACCTACGCGTAAGTAAGATTTCCTTCAAACAAAGTTAATTGAAGTTATATTATTTCAAAAACTTCTTGCTGACAATGAAGAAATGAATTTTCTGTACGAAAACAACCGACCTGAAGATCTTAAAAGCAAAAGATGCAACTTGGCAGCCAAGCCATGATTCACCATTTAGCTATTTTAAGCTTAACAGGTCCATGCGAGGGTCTTCGTTTAAGCAAATTAAACTAAATGCAGAAAATTGCACATAAGGGTTTGTTTTGCTCGCCTCAGTCAAATCCAGCTGCAGCAATTGTTTACGGGAAAAGAGTCAATTGTTTTGAAGTCACTGCGGGCAGTTGTCGTTCTCTACTTTACAGTGAGTGAAAAGGACAATTTGCGTGCAGCAAGTTATTCTTATAAAGAACAGAAACTTTCACAGTGCACTGGAAAACAAAACTATGTAATGAAAAATGAAAAAAAACTCTGACTACTGTTACTTGAGCAACAGAAAAATGATCCTGAGTAAGCTTGCTGGCCTTCTATTTCCGAGGAAGTTTAATAAGCGCACCAGTTTGTTCACTCTGATGCGTTATAACGACAAAATGGTTCTTTGACTGAAGACAAAGATAAAGCTGGTTCTGCAAAGGTAATAAATCTGGGCATGTAAAAAAAGTAACCGTAACTACTAATAACAGAATACAAGCGGGTTTTAATTCAACCCGGCGAAATCAACTCATAAATTAATCGGATGCACAATCAGAAAAAATATACGCCTCTTTAAAAATGTTCAAAAACTTTTATTCCACCTCAGACTGACGGAATGATCCGTTTTTCCTTTAACATCGGTTGTTCTGAATCCAAAGTAATTTTCAAGCGACGAAAAAAGGCAAACATGAAAATGCTTCACAGGGAGCAAACGTTCGCACCTCGTGCACTTCACTCAGAAGTCCAGCAACAAACAAACACAGTCAGACACAGTCAACACACAGAAAAGCCCGCCTTGAGCCTCCGATAAGAGATGCGCAGAAGCTTGCCCAGAACGTTTTTCCGCCCTGAAATTGTGGGCAGGCAATCCGAGCACGTGCGGCGTCCAGCGAAGGGGAGAAAGTAGAAAAAAAATGGGCGTGGGCGAAAAACCAAATCGTGAAGCGAGCCGAGAGGTAGTCTGGCGAGGGGAAATTAAAGGCTCCGCCGTTGGGGAAGAACTTTAAGGGAGAGTTTAGGCTAGAATTTGCTTTTCTTTTAAGCGCAAATGAAGTCGACGTCTACCAAGGGACCAGAATCCGCAGTGAAGGGAAGAGGGCAAAATCCGGGTCAAATAGCAAAAAATATCGGCGAGCGGCAGAGCGAGCCCCAATCCACCGCTCAGCCCGCTTCGCTTGCCAATATTTTTGCTGTTTGACCTCGTTTTTTGCCTACGGTTTAATAAAATGGTTGCAACGACCTTACAAAAAAAGAATTCTTTCGTATGTTGTGCTATGGTCGGCGTTATATGTCTTATATAAGATGAACGATGATTTATTGCCGGAAACGAACGGCAAACTTCCGCAAGTGTCTACCTATCACTTATGACAGCTCTGGAGGATCACTACCATTGGGGGAGGGGGAGGTCAAAACTTGCTATATGGATAAGTGTTACACTAAAATCTTCATTTGTTTTGTACTAACAATTTAAAACACAGACCATCTTTGTTCTTGGTTTCTCAATTTAGCAATACACTAGTTTCTATATCTGGCATTTCAAAGGGTCATTTCTGAAACAGTCAGATTGTGTTTGGTTATTGACAGTTTCCAGGGCGCTCATAGCTCACCTGATCCCGGAGGGATATTCGTCAGTCAAATGGGTGCAAGGATCCTGAATCGCTATTTTGGCTGATGCGTGACGTCATTTCGTACAACGTAAAATTGGCGGGAAGTTCAAGTTTCTCATTGCAGTTATTTTTCTATTATTTGTGAGGGGTCTCACTTAGGACAATAACGGACTGGTGGAAGTGTAAACAGTAACAGACCACTTCCGGGGTACAAAAACTCCCACTCACTTCACTCACTCCCACTCAGTTTCGCTTTGAAAAAAAATCTTGGAGCAACTCGGAAATGGCCTTAAGACTGTAAAAAAATACTTAAAGGTTAATACCTTCATTTTTTACTCTCGACTTAGAAATGTACAATATTTATTAAAACTAACTGGCCATAATTAACAATAAGTCATAAAAAATCAATGAAATATTAGAAAGAGTAATGTAAATTCTTAATATAAGAACAGTAAACTAGTCATAATTAACAATTAATTGAAAAGTAATATACTGAACAGGCGCGGATCCACACCGGTTTCCACCGTTTTACGAAAATCGGTCAGAGTTTTCATAGATAAATAAATTTTCATGAAAAAAAACTTTCCAAGTTAAAATCCGGCCAATATCCTGACTGAATGACTCAGAAACCCAGGAAAAGCGACTTTGGGGAGTTAAAAAAAAAAAAAATTCACGAGGTGTATGCCTCGGAGCCCCCTAGAAGCTTACGCTATCGACGCTCGTTTTGGAAAACGGTCAGTATTTATCCTAGATCCGCGCCTGCTGAAAGTGAAAGTGATCTACTGAAAAATAAACTGAAAATTTTCCTTGACAGATTATCACTAGCCTTAATATTTCTTAAAGTGATGAAAATGTGTTCGGATCATGACCGTCTTTTTCAACCTTCAAAGCCCACATTTTTTCTTATGAAAATTCACAAATAAAGGAGACCGGAAGAAAATAAAAAATGGTCACATGACAGTGCCAAACATAGAGTTTCCAGCCGCTTTAATGTTGGACGCAACTGGTTACGCGTGATCTGTGGACACAGTTGATTTTTTAAACGATTGTTGTCGAACAAATTTCTTTTGCATCGGATGGACTTGAAGGCTCAGAGAATACTCAATCAACAAACACACTGTCATCTTTTTATTTCGGACTGGAAAAACATTGTCCTTCCTGGTGTGACCTTGTCTTTTAAACAGCTAAAAAGGCGCAAAGTTTCATTACTTTATATGTGGCTAGTCGTGTCAATAAACACCGCTCTGATGTCGCTGGCGAGCTAAACATTACGTCCTGTACATACTATAATAAATAATTTTTTGAGGAGGCCTCCAGTCACCTGAAGGTGGTTTTTAGGAGGGTCCTCTAAAAAAAGAAGATCAAAAATATATGAAAAATACACTAAAATATGGTTACAAACTAATACTACAAGAAAGATTTAAAAATTGAGCCAACATTACAAATACTAACTACGATTCAAAATGATTTAATAAAAACTGTTTCAGTTGTGTTTAAACTGCGTTTATACTGCGGGCGCGATACTCTCAGGGAGTGGACCACGTAGAGAACAGTTTCATAACTGAAGTAATTGACAAGTTGAAAAGATATGTTTTATGTCGTATGAAATTATTCCAAACTATAAGTGTGAACGGAATCTGGTAAGGACCTGATATTTACGCTGAACAAATATAGTGCCTTACACGCTTTTGCAGAAAAAACTTTGCAAATAAAAGGTATATGGAATTAACCAAAAAAGTCATATTTCACTTCTTAAAAGACTAACTATCAAATATAAATGGATAAAACAAACGACTAACTGGAACAAAATACGCCATTTCTCTATTTAGAAGGGGTTTGGAAGCCACAAGTAAAAAAGTGAAGAAAAGTTATCTACGAAGATTGGCGTTCCTTAGTTATCTAAAAATTGAACAATATCTGTTAAGAAACCAATATTTAGCTGAGTCCTCAGTGATATGAGCGTGTAGAACTGGATGTTACGCGTATATAGCTGATCCGAGAAAGGTTGTCACGTGGAAAGATGAATTCGGACGCTACAATGCAGAGAGATTAGTGAATGTCATTAGTTCATAGTTGCTTTCGTTTTTATTCTTTTACTTGTGTTCCAGTCTCTAAGCGACCTAGGTACAGGCAGAAGCAACTCATAATTTAGAGTTCGTCATATTGTGCTGTTTCCGGTATATTATGTTGCAATACAACTGAAAAAAAACATGATTGTTATTTTTTTTATAAAAAAACGTATAAGGGTCTTCCGAGTAAAAAAGGAGTGGCTTCTTAAATTACCCCAAGGTAGGTCATTTCCGATATTTCCGAAGCCTCTGTTTTAAACTCTCCGGAGGGCTTAATTTCAGAAACTGGGAATAACATTCAAAGACAAAATTCTTGTATTTCTTCAAAATGTAACAGCGTTTTTTGCAACTTAAAAACTTTAATCAAGTAAAGAATGATCCTCGCTGTTGTCATTTGTTACCTGCTCCCAACATCAGCGGCTTCATAGCTCCGTTGGTGAGCTTCGTACCGGTATCGCGAGGTCACGGGTTCAAATCCCGTTGAAATTCTGAAGTTTTTTCAGGTTTCTTTTACGCAATTGCATCAATTGCGTTCACAACTGCGTTCACAATTGCGTTCACAACTGATCATTCTTTACTTGATTTCATTTTCCGCTGTTTTCATTTATGATTTATGTCATATACATTTATCGCATTAAAAAATTTAGCCCAAAAATTTTCAAGTTTTTTTCGTAGAAATTCCATTTTAATCTTCTTCATCCGAAACTATTCTTTATCTTATAAGTATTATCAACGTGTGGTATTTCTAACACTATCTTTTTGCGTTTCATTGATTCAATAACATTTTCAACTAAACTTACCCAAAGCACCTCACCTTCATTGGTCGAAATTTAAAGTGACGTCATCGCCAATCAGCATAAATGGTGCCCAGTACTTCGCGGCATTGAAGTCGTTTGACTCCCGCATCATTTTCATGGCCTCATGAAGCGATTTACTTGCACTGTGCCCCTTGACCAAATGTTCGTAAAAGTGTCTCATAAACGTCAGAGTGGCTTCGTCTTCAATCGCCCAAAGTGACGCAATAACAGAACGCGCACCAGCTCCTAAAAAGGCACGTGCAATACCAACCACGCCCTCAGCCTTGATCTTCCCTCGTCCACTGTGACAGCAGCTCAAGACAACAAGCTTGGCGTCCAATTTTGCATTCAACACATCTGTCATTGTTAAAAGACAGTCTTTCTCTTCGGGAGGATTGGAGCTGCCATGATTAGGTGACAACAGAATTTCACCCCTTTCTGCAGAACCATGAGCTGCAATGTGAACTAAAGAAACTGAGTTTAGCCTGCTTAACACTTGTTCTTTTGTAGCGTTTTTTCCAATGAGAGGCTCAACGTTTAATATCTCACCAATCTTTTTTACCTCCTCTTTAGCGCCCGGGAGCTGCTCAATTCTCTTTCCTTTGATGCGTACAGTTTCAATCCACGGGTCACCAACTAGCAGGGCACCAGATTTACAATGGCGTCCCTCTGGACACTCTGACAGCAGGCTCAAGCTTGTTAGTGACGGAGCCAATCGAATTCTCAGCGTTTCAGACAAATACCTGGAATTTTGATCCAAAAGGGCAGCATAAGGAATCAAGAATGATGAACCATCAGGAACAATGATAAGTTCCTCATCTTTTATCAAGTGTGAAATCGGAGCGATCACAACATCATACAACTCTCTTAGAGCACCAACCCCATCTTGTGACCATGTAAACTCTTTGTCGTTTGCACCCCTGTCGGATAAATCTTCTACTGTTTCATCGTCTGGATCATCCAGCGAGCGATCTTCGCATCTGGCAAGCTCAAGAACACCAATCTGCTTAGGAACAATCTGTCTGTACATTTTGTTAGTCATGCATTCCAAGGTATCATTGATTTCCTTTGCCGTGAATTGCCACTCTTGTCCCTTATGAAGCACCCAGAAAAACACTGATTTGAAAGCTTCTACAAGAAATGTCGTTGGCGATGAAATAAAGCTTGAAATGTTAGTTATTCTTTCAATCCTCTCTTTTGATGATGATGGAGTCGATTTTGCGCCATATTGTGATTCCATGAGGTCAGCGAGAGCTTGCGCTCGTCCCCGCTCGGCTGTTAAAAGGGCCTCTTTGGTCTTGCTTTGTCGTAACTGAACAATCCACAAATTACTGTACGCCTTTAATTGATCCCGAAAGCTGATTTTCCATTCGTCTTTCTCTTGAAGAAGGAACCTTATCTCCTCAAACACTTTTATACTGGATTCATAACACTCTTCAGCCTGACGGAAATCATGAAGCTTTTCAAAACTAAGACCAAGATTGTCGTGTGCCGTTTGTTCTAAACTTTTTTGTCTTATCTCTTTTGCGATACTAAGAGACTGCTGATGAAATTCGATTGCTCTTTTATAATCACCGAGATGGTGATACGCAAGGCCAAGGTTGGCATATGTTGCACCTTGTGAACCTTTTTGTCCAGTCTCTTTTGTGATACTAAGAGACTGCTGATAAAATTCGATTGCCTTTTTATGATCACCGAGACAGTCATACGCACAGCCAAGGTTGGCATATGTTGCACCTTGTGAACCTTTTTGTCCAATCTCTTTTGTGATACTAAGAGACTGCTGATAAAATTCGATTGCCTTTTCATAATCACCGAGACAGTCATACGCACTGCCAAGGTCGCCATATGCTGTACCTTGTGAACCTTTGTCTCCAATCTCTTTTGCGATACTAAGAGACTTCTGATGAAATTCTATTGCCTTTTTATAATCACCGAGAGAGCGATACGCAAGGCCAAGGTTGGTATATGCTGCACCTTCTGTGACTTTGTCTCCAATCTCTTTTGCGATACTAAGAGACTGCTGATGAAATTCGATTGCCTTTTTATAATCATCGAGATAGCGATACGCACTGCCAAGGTTGGCATATGCTGCACCTTCTGTGACTTTGTCTCCAATCTCTTTTGCGATACAAAGAGACTGCTGATAAAATTCGATTGCCTTTCTATAATCACCGAGAGATTTATACGCACAGCCAAGGTTGCCATATGCTGTACCTTCTGAACCTTTCTCTTCAATTTCTTTTGCAATACTAAGAGACTTCTGACAAAATTCCATTGCATCTTTATAATCACCGAGAAAGTGATACGCACTGCCAACGCCGCTATATGCTTTACCTTCTGAACTTTTGTCTCCTATCTCTTTTGCGATACTAAGAGACTGCTGATGAAATTCGATTGCTTTTTTATAATCACTGAGAGAGTAATACGCACAGCCAAGGTTGTTATATGCTTTACCTTCTGAACCTTTGTCTCCTATCTCTTTTGCGATACTAAGAGACTGCTGATTAAATTCGATTGCTTTCTTATGATCACCAAGACAGCCATACGCATTGCCAAGGTTGTTATATGCTTTACCTTCTGAACCTTTGTCTCCAATCTCTTTTGCGATACTAAGAGACTGCTGATGAAATTCGATTGCTTTTTTATAATCACTGAGAGAGTGATACGCATTGCCAAGGTTGTTATATGCTTTACCTTCTGAACCTTTGTCTCCAATCTCTTTTGCGATACTAAGAGACTGCTGATTAAATTCGATTGCTTTCTTATGATCACCAAGACAGCCATACGCAGTGCCAAGGTTGTTATATGCCATACCTTCTGTACCTTTGTTTCCAATCTCTTTTGCGATACTAAGAGACTGCTGATTAAATTCGATTGCTCTTTTATGATCACCAAGACAGCCATACGCAGTGCCAAGGTTGTTATATGCCATACCTTCTGTACCTTTGTTTCCAATCTCTTTTGCAATACTAAGAGACTGCTGATGAAATTCGATTGCTTTTTTATAATCACGGAGACAATCATACGCAATGCCAAGGTCGCTATATGCTGCACCTTCTGCACCTTTGTTTCCAATCTCTTTTGCGATACTAAGAGACTGCTGATGAAATTCGATTGCTTTTCTATAATCATCGAGATAGTAATACGCATTGCCAAGGTTGTTATATGCTGTACCTTCTGTACCTTTGTCTCCAATCTCTTTTGCGATACTAAGAGACTGCTGATTAAATTCGATTGCTTTTTTATAATCACGGAGACAATCATACGCAATGCCAAGGTCGCTATATGCTGCACCTTCTGCACCTTTGTTTCCAATCTCTTTTGCGATACTAAGAGACTGCTGATGAAATTCGATTGCTTTTCTATAATCACCGAGATAGTAATACGCATTGCCAAGGCCGCTATATGCTGCACCTTCTCTATACGTGTCTCCCGCCCGTTTGGCTTCATTCAATTCTAACTCGAAGTAATTTCGGGCACTTGTGAAATCACAGCGTTCATAAGCTGCAACTCCGAGGCTATAACTGGAGGTTTTGTCGTTTAGTCCTTGTTTCTCCTCATCTTTCCTGAAAGACTAAAAACAGAAGAAAACTCGTTTTTTTTTAATCGCTTTCAGTTTTCGACTGAAACGCTATGCGGTCGGGTTTATACAAGCTTCCAGTCTTTATTCCTTCCAAGCTGCATTGAATAAGACTTCAGACTCGAAATTTCTATTAATGCTATTCTCTAGCTAAATTTTCTTCAAAAAGTTATTAGTCTTACGGCGGTTAATTCCTTGTAAGGTTGCTCAACTTCTATTATTTTTTGTAGCCTGTTGTTAAACCTGTTATTTTATTTTCAAAGATCGTCAGGCGCGCATAAGAAATGTAAATGGCGCAAGTTTTATTGACCGCTAGCGTGAAGAGGGTTCTCGAGCATCGCGTTCGCAAATCTCCTCAAAATAGCAAAGAAATGTCTTTTCAAACAAGCATACAGATTGAGACTCGGACATTTCTGTGACTCTCACATTTACAAGTGTCAGAGCCAAGCTGAGAAGTACGCGGCTTTGAAGATCTTTGCCGCAGTTTAGTTCATGTTGTACAATCTGTTCTTCAGTGGGGTAAGGACCCTATAGTGGTAGTAAAAAGAGAAGAGGGTAGCAAATACCAAGCGACGCGAAGAACGAATCAGTAGCCCCTGAAGAAAAGGAAATCACGCCAAGATGCAAAAGATGACAAACGTTTTCATAGTTAACATTTCTATGCTTAAAATGATATTAGAAGTGGAATACTCTAAAAGCATGATTTATGAAATATTAAAAATTTTCAGAAGAATAACTTATTTCATTCCGAGATAATCCTAAGACATTTATTTTGCTTTAAAGATACAAAAAATACAGGTTTACTAATATTTAACTCTTTGAAACAAAGAAATTAATTTTTAACTTTGTAGTTAACCGTAACTGAAAAAATTAACCGATAGCCGTAAAAGAGCCACAATTTTAGCCGATAACCGTAAATGGCACCATCCCATTGAGACCCTCCTTAAAGCTTTATCAAGGAGAAGTAAAATCACATATGAGGTAAATACAGTCCACTTTGTACCCGTTTCTTTGAAAACGTACTTGCAAATCTTAGAATAACCAAGAGCCCATGGCATAACTTCACTTTTTTCCTGTTGGTAAGCTATTATCAAATTTCAAATTTCCACGGAGATGTCAGGCGTGTAGAAGGAGGGGGGGGGCTCGACGGGTTCGAATCGAACCCCCTTTGCAGGTCAATGATGGAGGACTAAAAACACAAGCTGTTAATTTTCAGCTTTTAGCAAACAGAGGAGGAATGGAAAGCAAACTTTGAGTGTTTTAGCTCAGTTGAAATTACCCTGTACGAAAACGTTAACAGTATCGGGAAAGCCTTATGAGCACAAATAAAAAGTGTTAGGAGTTTGAGTACAAATGAAATTCGTCGAGTTTTGTAAAACGTTTCGTGTACGTACTTAGCCGGTATGTTCACTATGTATGAATGTTCCAAGTCAAACGGAAATATTGTTGTTATGACTAAAAAAAACCTGTTATTTTAGACTTGATCGAGTTTGAAATATTCACTTGGAGACTACTGAAAATAGCATTTCCAAGTTTCTAGATTTCAACATTTTCTGAGGGAGCAATTAGCCCCAAGAAACCCTCAGAGGCTCGCGCCTTTGGCGCTAGCAGTATTTCCCGCTGTTAATAAATATTCGTATCAGTACGAACACCCCTTATCAAACCCCAGCTACGCGCCTGGATGTCTTTTGGCTACAACCACCAGACTTCATTTCGTGTTTCCTTTCTTGTTTAAATCAAATAATCTCAGTTAGGTTTCAATAACAAAAACTTTAATTTGCACAGGAAAGGATAAAAAAACTAAGTCTTAAAGGATTCTGGGAGTTCTTGCCAAAGAATGTCGTCGTGCCACACAGTGCGGCATGTAGTATCGTTAAGACAGTCATTACGCAAGCAACTAATATATGGAACCAGAGAAAGGAGCATATTAAAAAGCATAGCAAAGGCCAAGGACAGTTTTTAAAAGCGCAAATAATGGATACAGCACGATGACCCTGTACTAAGAGATCTCAAGTGACAGCAAGTCCCAAAATTTTCCTTCCAAATTTTCTGTAGAACGAACATGTGTTATTAAGAAAAACTCGACATCTAGAGAGGTCACTGTGGGCGTCCAATTAACACAGGTTCCATTTTATTAACAAACCCATGATTACAAAAAAACACAATTAACTTTCAAGTACGAAGCGAAGATAATGTAAAAAAAAAAAGATTACAAAATGCATAAATTTCAAAACTGTCAGACATAATTTGTAGAAAGGAAAAAACTAATTGTTAAAAACAGTACAATCACCACAAGTTTAAACTGACTAACTCACTCTACCTTACTGACATTATTTTGATATTGTTTTCTATTCTCAACATTTGGTTTCAGTTTTATTGACATATTTCTAGGGTGTTACGCATGAAAAAGCCACATTACGTTATGTTTGTTTTTATTTTGCCAATGTTTACCCTCCCCCGGAAAAAATAGTGGCATATAATCCCTGCCTCCTCATAACAGCCACTTGCCTCTTCCCGCAAGGTGACCGTTGTCGTAGACAAAAAGATATTCTCAGAAAATAACTACCGCCATAAACCACGAATTGGGAGGCAACATGTTCTGTAATATGACAGACTACATTGGAACCCCTCCTTTGGGACACCTCAATTCAAGGGACACAGCCATTGAGGGGACACAAAATTTGGTCCCGGAAAAATGTTCACATAATCCTTGTATTTGTTACCTGTATTGAAGGGACACCTCTATTCAGGGCAAAGGGACACTTTTTCTGGGTCCTGAAACCCAGGTTTAACCTTCGTTCAGGGGACACCTTAGCACTCATAAAGTGACCGACCACTAAAATCGTTGCTAAGTTTAAGCATACACTAGTTACAATGGTGCCAGCTTTCCAAACTTGAACTATCTACATTAAATCGATGTACTGTACTTGTGGGAATTCAACACCAAACGTCGCACAGATGAGTTAATCATATTTTTTAAACATTATTAAGCTCCTTGAAATAATGAATGTAGCAGATTCCGAGCAGTATTTTATTTTTTTTGGTTAATTATTATCAAACCCCAGCCCAACCTCCATTCAGGGGACACTTGCCTTGGTCCCGAAGATGTCCCCTGAATATAGGTTCCACTGTATTTCGATCGCCGTATCAAGGCAAAATGCTTCTTATATATAGCAACAACTAAACAAAATACCTTGTCGTCTGAGTCGCCATTTCCTGAAATACACTTCGCTTTGTCTGCAGCCAGCTGTTTCCTCAGTTTCAACAAAGTGGTGTTTTCCTTGTCAATCTTTTTAATTTATAAAGGTGTAAATAATACTGAGAATGAGTGTAACGAAGCAAAATGAACACAAAAGTATGACCTCTCCCTTGGATGGAATCTTTTGTTCATGTTCTTAACCTGTATACAAACGCCCCCCTCCGCTCAAATAAAAAAATTGGGGAGAGAGACGTCTGTGGATCGCCCACGTTAATCGTGTACCGGTAAACATTTGCATAAATTAATTATTATTGTTTTTTTCTCTGACAGTTGAAAAAGTGTTGACGGACCAACAAGACTCTTGCAAAGCACGTACGCGGTTATTCTCAGCCTTTATGGGTCTTTATAGCACGGCTCTAACTAGAATATCTAGCTGAAGAGTCGGTTGTTAGTACTCTTTTTCATAACGAGTATATAATACTTTGGAGGATTCTAACACATGTCCTTTCGTCTTAGTCGTGAAGCTGGTCTGTTTCGTGTAGATCGATCTCCTGTGGTTTTTGGCTTTCACAGAATTTTGATCTCGTAATCCGTTTACATTTCCAATCAAATGTTTTATGCAAGAGTTTTATGCAGCAGGTTTCGCCTGAAGAATTGAACAGTTCACTTATTCTCTTCATTTGAAATTAGAGCTCTTCGTTTTTCTAATTATACGAGTCATGACCGGCACAATTGCAGGCCAAAAAAATATTTTCCACGCAATGCCCACGTTGAAATACAGATAAAAGCTCTCTTATTAAGCGTTGAATTTTTTACATCCTTCTCTTTACGCCCTTCTCGGCAGAGTACACAAGGACTGCCCACAATGTGTTTAATTGCGTATTTTGCGGTATTTGGGGTGTCTCCCTCTCTTCAAATTTCGATCAAATTCTTCATCGTCAACGATAGCAATCATTCTACGGTCTGCTGAAGTTTTCCGTGGATCTGACGTCTGTCCTTCCTTGATGTTTCCCTCGGATACTATTGCCTTGTAATCTTCCTGGAGAGAATTTTGTGGATCAGACTCGAGATCATTTCCTACCTGACCGATAATAGAACCTATGCTAAAATAATTATGTTCCAATACTTCTTGGGAAAACAATTTTGTGTCAGAAAAAGCTCTTCGTCGCTGTCCATGAACACCATGAAAGTATGGACCGACCTACTAAATAACAAAACACGCCGATAAAATGGTCAAAACAACTGAACAAAGAAACCAAAAAATACAAAGCAAACTCCCTTGAGGACGCCACAAAACGTTTCTCAAAAACCTTGTCAAAACCTCACAGTTTGAACTTTCATTGGCTGCGGTCACATCTGGGCTACTAACTATAGTTAAGATGGGGGTAACTATAGTTAGCTATTTTGGTAATGTGACCGCTTCTCTGTTCGCTCTAACTATAGTTAGAAATTTACGCCTCGGTGACTCAAAACAATACAGACTAACTATAGTTATACCCAAGCAGGGTTCGTGGGTTAGTCTTAAGTTTACAAACAACCAACCAATCAGAATGTGACACTTCTTTTCGCACGTGCGAGATGAGCATATATAAATATGCAAAATAAAAACCCAGCGTGAAGCGAACCAAAAACAACAAACAAAAAATTTACATAGGCTAATTAAAACTAACCGTTGTTACCTGTGTCGTGTGACCGCAATGTGGAGCGAAAGCACTAACTAAAGTTAGGTAATATATAGATTTAGCTAAGGCTAAAAGCAAAGCTCCTATTAACTCGAATTTATAATTTAATTAAGCAATAGACCACACTTTCCACAAATCAGTTAACTTTAGAGCACATTGATGTGACTTTTGAGGGAAAGGCTAAGTGATTTTAGAGAAAAATAATTAGCAAACAGTCCAAGCTAAGAGTGAGCTTAATCTTACATCGAGTTGATAGCCTTATATGTACACACAAAAAATAGCATAGCCATAATGGCTCTTGATCACTGTAGGTTAGGCCTGGAAAACAAATTCTTGGAAAACAAATCAGGCTGAATTTTTTGCGTTCGATAAGTTTACTTAACAAAATCTTGCGAAAAAGTCTGGGGACGTGTAAACAAACCTTTTATACTTTTTATACATCACATCTGAGGTGAAACAGTACCAGGAAGCGCTGTTTTTATCATACAGACCTTGGACAGAATGCGTATTTCACAATTTTGCAATACAAATTGCACTCATTCAATATTCAGGACGATCGAAGCACGCGTGGGCTTTTAGCGAAACCGTTAAAAAAATTTCCAAAATCACCTTTACGGGTAGCCGGTTCTCACTTTTGACAAGCGCCAAAGTCGACTGTTTAAATTTAGATTAATAGAGTTATACGCTTCAACATAATAAAGAATTTATTTATTTTTTATTTAATGTTTTTATAACGATGTGTAATCTTCAAAAGCGTTTCTTGTTACGCGTAACCTGAGATCAGGCTCTATTTTCGTTTCGCTTTGAAAATTACATTCCGGCGGGAAAGGCGAAACGAAAAGAGAGCCTGATACAAACTTTCTACGAAACGTCTGCAGCACACTTTTTTTATTGATTGACATTTGCCGAATGACCCAACCAAAATTACTTCCGTTGCTTGTTTTTCTAGTATGCAAATTTTTCATGCGTGGGAAAAATGCGCACTGGCTGTTTTAAAAAATAGCTTTTTTCTGTTAATATTTTCAGTTAAAAATAAAACAGTCAGCACAATCACATTTAACTTCTTGCGAGATTAAGGGAGATCTCGAAGGTTATTTCTGTTGGCGTAGAAGGTAGAGAATGTATGAGAACCGCTAAAATTGGGCCTGATCTCAGGTCAGATACGCGCGGCATTTTGACTACTCCTGCAAGCAATGTTCATGGGCGGCTGAAAACAAACGGCACAACGATTAAAATTGTAAAAGAGACTACTAACAAACAATAAAAGGAAAATAATTCGGTGAAACATATACATGTACCAAGACAACAATTTTCATTCCGGAAGACAAGTCTAAGTGAAAATCGCTCAAATCTTTCTTTTACAGCCACAATTATAACTAAATATTCCAACGTTTTCTTTCTATTTGCGGTGAGAAAATGTCTAAAGGCTTTTTAAAGTTCTATAAGCTTATGATGAAACCTGATACTCGGTCAGATCATTGTCTCAAATCTTACAAACGTGCATAAACTACTGCGGATTCAGGTTGAGCGTTTAATGACGTCAGTTATCGCATTCGTTATCACGGTGGACTGATTTCGTTGCGTTGCTAGGCAGGGATGATATAGTTCTGTCTGGGAAACGGCGCGTTGTCTTATCGATCTGTGTGTCATGGCGATTGAAATCAAGATAGAATACTCCTACTATTCTACAAAAAGAATAACTCCAGTATATATTGTCGAAGAAGAGCTTATGAGCCTGGAATACAGCAAGTTTCGTAGACCGCATTGTGAACGAGGTGCGCCATCTCTGAAGGATGAATTTATTGCGACTTACAGTAAAGGAAGATGAAACTGTCGACGCGGTAGATTTGTCGAGAAAGTATTTCAGCTTGCAGACGAACGGTTTGTTAGACAAAGGAGCTAAGAGCATCAGAATAAGAGTCTTTGATTCGCTTCGCCAGCCGTAGATACTGGTATTCACAGAGTAGAATACATGGCTGAGACGGGAGCAGAGGATCACGAGCTAACACGCACGCATGTTCGACGCTCACTAAATTTACAAATCGACCGGGAAATATCATTGTTAGGAGGTTACCTCCTCCGTCAATGATTTTATCGATGATATGTCTTAGGTCAGAGGATAAAGGTTTTCCTGGGACATAACAGCGACCGCTCTTGCTTACGGTCAACATGTTTAAGCTTGTTTACATTCTGTAACGCGCCTTTTCTCCGACAGAACGCTATCATCCCCAACCTAACAACATCTGACAATTTGCCTCGCAACGCAACCAATCAAACGTGATTACCACTCGAGATGCACTGAAAACTAGTATCAAGTAAGGCCAGAATCGCTTCAGACTTCTCAACCCTCTTACGCGTCAAGCAAGGTGAAAAACGAAAACGATGCCATTCCGAAATCAGATTTCCGACTTTCACAAGTGACGTAGTTCTCAACCAAAACCCCAATAAACAAACTAGCCATGAATAACAGAAGACTCTTGATAGCAGCTGAATTTCATTTTGTACATTTAGTGGAAAAAGACAGTTCAGAAAACATAACAAGTCGACACAAAACTCTGTCAGCTTCAGCTGTTCTAGGTAAACAAGTTTCAAGATGCTGCATACATTTTCCGCATGAACTCACCTGTCAAATTTTGACCAATAAATGGAAACTTAACGTAAACACGTAAAACCGTTGCGGAAACATGGCGGTAATCACATGTTTCCGTTAGCGGATACATTACGTTTACCAGTGTTTCCGTCGCTGCGGTTTCGGCGGAATCGTACCACTTTTTTCTACCTTTCCGTCAAATTTCCGTAAAAGCAAACACGTGTTTCCGCAAGCGTAAATGCGTGGCATCCTTGCGGAAACACGCGAATACGTTACGGAAACAAGTCAATTTCATGTTTCCGTCAACGTAATCGGATGTAACTATTGCGGAAACACGAGTTTACGAGTCGGAAACTGGTGTTTTCAAGTTATTTCCTTCGTGAAAAAAGCGCTTTTCACCATCTTGGGGTGGTTTTCCGCCATCTATAGTTACAAAAACCCATTCTCTCGACATTTTTATTGCACAAAATAATACCACAGCAATCTTTCCAAGTACTTTCTTTATTCTTCTTGCTTCCTAAACTGACAATCAGGTCTTCTTATGGTATTTATTCATTACATTCGTTAAGTTAAATTACATTTTAAATGTGAGTGCCTATTCACACTAGCAATGAACAGGAATAGTAAGAGGCTTCCTTTAGGAAATCCACTAGAAATTTTCTGTAGGACTACGTAGTTTTTTTTTTTTGGTAAAGAAAATGTCAAATCTGTTAACAAATTAATACCCTTTATAGCAGATAGTGATAAACACTTTCATGTGCAGTTTATGGCTAGTGATATGTTTGGCTGTCTATAATATTTCAACAAAGTGGAATATGATTTGTCGGGTGAATATACATTGTAGTCCTGCGTAGGACTGTTGTTGACAGCGGCTAACGTTTTGACAACAAGGTGATCATCATTTTCATGGGCATTGTCAAAACATCAGTTCCTGTCAACAGTCCCACTAAGTACTATACTAACCTGTACGATCATATACCACTTACTCATATGACCATTTTGCTTCAGTATAATATTATAATTATGGTGTCAGGAAATATTCTTACTCTTCTGACATGGTGGTCTAAACTACACAATTTTCTTTGACCAGTGCAAAGATTCAAATGCAAAAAAATACATCAACAAACAAAGGTGAGGTTAAGATGGCTGGATATTTGCGTCTTTATTGACCCTGCCTTCCTTTGCAAGGCTGTGCTCTAAGAAAAATTGAAGGCAGCCCAGCACTCTGAACTTGTGAAATCCAGTGTGCCCAGCAAATGATTTCTATGAAAAAGCAAAGATTTTCTAGTCGCCTGAGAACAAAAGTTACAGATGTAGGTGCAACGGGCCACAGAGCACAGCCTGGACTTGGTCAATAAAAATGCAAAAATGAATGAGGTCAATATTCAGTCATCTTGAATGAACAAGCTTGGTCAATAAATGAAAATTATTACATGGCCAAGAAGAGAAATTTTACTTGCGGGACCAACGCAGGAAATCCCAAGTGGGCAAAATGGGCTCACCTTGCCCCCTTGGGTAGCCAATTAGAATGCAAGGTTTGCTTCATCTTGCCCACTCGAGGTAGCAGTTGGACATTTTTTGTCTTTAGCATAGAATAGCAGGGTTGTCATTAAGAGCTGGGGGCCGGGGATTTTCCCCGGCTACTAATAGAGTGGCCCCCAGCTACTTTTATTGGAAAATAGAAGAAAAATAGAACCAAAAGAAATCCCTAGCCGTTTGATTCCCTGCCTACTTGTTGTGTTTACCCGGCAACTTGAAATCTTAGTGACAACCCTGGAAGTAGTATTTCAAGATTAACATTTGCAGAACTTGACTAAGCATAAAGCACAGTAACTTGAGACTGAAATTAAGTTCCATGATCCAGCCTGCTTGCTTTGAGAGAACGTTCTGCACCAACATCACATACCAAGGTGATCAGCCTGTTGTATGAAAAACAAAACAAAGTGCTAATAAGTAAAACACAGAAGCTATTCCTCAGGCTATCGGGGGACGGAAAACCTTTTAGCAGTAAGACAACCTTACTAATGTAGATATTCTCATACGAATAAAACATGCTAAATGAGTAATATACATATAATTTACTCGCCGCTTATTTTGACAACTCAGCTGTCTACTTCAAAACTTTCTGACAACCCTGATTCATCACATTACATTTACATGCATACAGTTGTGTTTCATATTAATAGCTAGTACATTATGTTGCCCGCAACCTGAAACGTTAAGACTATAGACCAGGGGTTACATGTACATGTAAATGTAAACAGAGGCTGTCTGTGATTACCAGTACCAGTAACCAAAAGCCTACTTTTCAAGGGCACAACCTCCCTCAGGTTGCACATTATCATCTACACGTACAGGGTCAATACCAGGGGAGGCAGGGGAAAGTTACAAGGTCTGGGTGCAGGAAATGATGTTCTCGCAACTTGTAAAGCGATAACCCTGGTGGGCAGCAGATAATTTACTGCAGTAAATGTATACTTCCGGTGTACAATGTATTATGCAAGACAAAATTCCCATCAAACTCGCCCGAACAAAACAGTTTGGCCATCAAACAATGTCAAACCAGCTTTCTGGAGAGTTTGATGCCTGAACAAAATCAAAACAAACCAAATTATATTGAAAAAAAATCAAATGTGAAAACTGAGTCAACTCAACAAGCCAGGGAAATCTGACAAGTGCTGGATTCAGAATATGCTACAATTGAGGCCAATTAAGGAGTGAAGAGTAATAACTGAGATGATTCCCAAGGTGATTTCAACTTGCAGATTTAAAGACTTTTTCCTTGGTAAACAAAATAAATGTATTGACATTTTCACAGAAAATGTTTATTTTAGAATTTAACTCTGAAATGGAAATAATAAAAGAAGCAGGATCTAATACATCGCCTTGACTGCTTTCACACTAGATCAATAATTAACACACTTGCCATCAACTGCTTGGAACTGAAACGTTTGATTTTGTTCCATTCGAGTGTTCCTTATGTGAGTTCCACTTTGTTCGATGACCCAACTCAATGTTTGACTGACTTCAAAAATCAAATGATCTATTCAATCTTTTTTTGTGAGTGGGTTTTGTTGAATGGCTGAGCTGCATCATTAACTCTTTCATTTGAAAGAGTCTGATCTAGTTTGAAAGCCAAACATTCAATGTGATATGCTTGATATACATGTACATGTATTTCGTAAAGTAAATATTTTAGCAGTGAGAGGCGAACCAACAGAGAAAATAAGTCAATAATTGACAAAAATATCATGCCTCTTTGTTTTTCTAATATGTTGTAATATTATTGTTTCTTGGTATTGAAGTTGCAAGGGAAACTAAAAAACATGTGACAGTCACTGCAACCATGTAACATCTTAACTGACAACAATATACGCTGAGCTAAGAGTGTGGATATGAGATTACTATGGTTATGATGTTGATAAAAAACACTGGAGAAAGTGTCAAATTTAGTCAAACTAAGTCTACTATTCTATAGAGCTTATAAATATGAGCTTATAATTCTGAATAAACAAATTCACTTCTCAAAATTTCACTCTGTTTATTACAGTCAGTTCAACAACTTAAATTAAAAGTAGCCTGCGTTGCAAGCGTTTCCAATCGAGTTATTGTGCGAAAGTTAGAGCGGAAGCAAAAAAAAGGTTGAAGGGGGAGGGGGAGGGGAGAAGAGGAAACGCTTGCCCGCAAACCAGACGATTCTGGAAAACGCCCCTTGATATTTCACGGTTCGGTTCATTTGTAAATTGACAGCTCGTCGAAATAGAAACATAACGAACAGATTACCCCTGGATTACCAGATTTGTAAAATTACTTTGTTCTCTAATAGAACACGTTCCAGGCGATTGCAAGAACTGTAATAAAAAAGATTTACGATAAAAGAAGGTTAAAACTATGAGCGATTGCTGCAGAATTTCTTGTTTTTTATTGTGTGGCTCTATCTCGGCTGAAACCTTGTCGACACGTCAAAAATGATTTGTCCGGAACAATTCACTCCGCCGGGTATAAGTTTTGCAGAGCGGCTGCTCTTCATCCTGTGTCGAAACGTTCTATACAATAGATGCCGCTAAATTTCCAATAAACAAAAAGAATCTTTTCATTTCAAAAAGCTGGCAAATCGCTTGCTCATGGCGGCTTTAGCTAATGTCGAGTACCGATGTTCCGATTTATGTTGATGTTATCTCCAACAAACAGTCCATTTTTTCCAGTCAGATCCGCACGCCATCATTCTCAATAAATTGGCCTTCCCTAGTCTCCACTGCTCGATCTCCAATTATACTTTGAAGACTCTGATCTCATAAACCGTCGCACAAACATGATTCCAATAAATATCAGTCCAAAGCATTTGTAATCTGTGACCACAAATCAGATGAGACCAGATCTGTGACGCACGAAAACAAAGCATACCTGGTTTGATTGATGTTTCGAATGCTAAGTAATCAACACTACCCGCACCGTGCCAATCAGAAGCTGCGTTCATTGGCGAACGCAGTTTTTCAAAATCGTGGGGTTTGCGGGCAAGCGGTTCCTTCGTTTCCCTCCCCCTCCGCCATCATTAATTTTTTTTTGCTCTTGTCCCAGCTTTCTAGACGAACCTCGCGAGGAAACGCTTGCTACGCAGGCTAAATTCAAAGTTAAAATTCAACAAACCTAGTAAACAAAGCAAAACTATTCCTGAAAGCTCAGTTCCTTGAATTATAATTGAAATGACTTTAAAGTGCCTGTGTCACAGTTGCGTAGTAAACTGTTGTTCACTTTGTCTATATTGCCAATGATGTGTCCTTGTGCCGTAATATGTTGTCTGAAAAGCGGCATTATATCAATGCACTTGTGAATAACCAAACTACAATAAAGAGAAATTGTCCCACCTTCAATTTCCCTTTTTCAGTTTTTATCTCAAAACCACCAATCTTTGGTTATTCAAAGAATGATCAGTAAACAAATCTGCTGGTTGCTTTGCAAGTTGTGGGAACATTGTTTGGATTTCAAGAGAACATATTTAAGGAGTAACCCCTTCCCCCTGGTCAATATGATGCTTGCATAGAACTGCAGAGTAATACAGGATAAATAAAAGTGGTTTTACTAGTTTAACTCCACTGCTGGTTTTGCTGTCCACTGAAATGAAGACTTCAAGGAGCTGTGTCACAATATTTAGTATTGTCTGGATCACTCTGTTACAGTCAATTTCACATTATTTACCACACCATGTTGCAAAGTTCGTTGGAAAATTGGGTACTACATCATGAAGTAGCCAATTACTTAGCAAGTGAGGGAATCAAATTGCGAACTTCAAGACATAGTTGTCAACTTTGGTGCGACTGAGCTTCACAAGTTTGCTCAACAGTAACTTCTCTTCTCAGTTGTTTTAATCACCGAGTTAACGTCAAAGAAGTACCTATTCCTGGGATCACAGTTACTGAAAAAAAATATATTCTTCAACTTTTCCTTGAGCGTTCTCAGTCAAGCATTATTACATTATTAGATTAAGCTCTCTTTTGGAACTATTGTCAACTCGTTGCACGAGTAACCAAAATCACGTGTCAATACATGACTTATCGAACCTTTGCGGGTCAACAACCTGATTTTCGATTAAATGTTTTTGTATTTCCGTAGCATACATACTTGGTTGTCGCTGTTTAAAAAACTCTGTGTAGGGGCTTCCTGGACATATGAAACGATCAACAATATTTGTTACCGTCCTTCTCAGTAAATTAAACTGGTGCACTATTTGGAATGGTTTCGAACCCCAGTGATTTTGTTACCTCTGCGTCTTGTGTCCCTCACACAAAAAAATTATCCAAAGACCCAAAATAATTCATGGCATGCATCCCGTAGGAGGCAAAGGATGATCGATCGATTTGAAGATTTGTTGGTAGAATATCCTGTTTGTGTGATTTCTGTAGCTGTTGTTTAAAGACGTATATTTATTTCAGGCTTTTTGTGCTTTAAATATATAGGACTATATTTTGATTTTAGTAAACTGTCATAAGGAGTTTTGGCATCTGTCTCCAGATTAACTGTGTGGTTAAAAGGCCCATACCAAGCATTCTCAATTAAGCACTCCCTGTTTTTTAACTGGGACTCACTGGTTATGCATGTGGACAAGCCAGAACTCTTGACTATTCACAAGATGAGTCCCAGGACTCACCATATACTATTTGTAACAAAATCACTGGAACCCTCTAACCATTTTTCTACAATCATTTCACAGACCTCACAGTGCAGCGCCTTGCCCTGTTTAGTAAGAGGATTCAGGTTCATTATGTTGCAGTTTCCTGCTCGGGAAATTACTGTACTTGTCAATCACAGCTTTGTGTCAACAAATATGTCTCCCAAGCATTATCTCAAATGCTACAGACCACAAAAATGAAATATGGAAAACTGTTAAGCTTACCTCGTCTTACTATCTGTATTCCATCACAATCCTCCGCCTTGGATAGCCTTAGCACGGTAAAACACTCCAACTTTCAAATTATACTTGCGCATCACGAGGTTTTTGTCTCACATTCTGCTCCACTGTGTCGGAAAAGAGTCGCTTTACGAGGGAAGCGATCGATTACTGAAGGCCGATGGGTCGTTAAATATACAAAACAACCCTTAGATGTCTTGTGGTATCATCAGAAAGCAAAAATATACCGATTCCACGCTCCTAGAAACTACAGAAGCTGGCAAATTTGAAGCCGTTGCAATCACTTTCAAAATGGACGCCAAAAAGAATGATAGCAATGAGCATGAGCAAAGGAAAAGTCCGCTGACCAGCACTCCGCTCTGTTCTAGGCCCCATTCTCTCTCGTTTTCTCTCTTGTTTTCTCCGTCTAAGAGCATTTTAGTTTTACGCAAGTACTAGTACTGATTGACATCAATCTGGCAAATATTGAAAGCTGTTGGTAAGCTCTGCGATTTTTATCACTTAGAATGGAAAGCAATGGCAACCTCGCACACTTCACAGTCTTTGCATCAATGCAACGCACGCGAGTAATGCATCATTTAATCATTTAATCTCGAGACTAAATTTACCTTTATTTACCTTGATTGTACGCCAAGGCAAAGTTTACGAAACATTGATAATGCGATCTTGGACATGGGTTAAAAAAAAGAAAAAGAAAAAATTCGTCACCTGAAACGTAACGGAAACAAGAAAGAACGGAAATGTGATGACAGAAATGTGGCGGAAACATGATCGTTCGTTTCCGACGCGGAAACATGACGGAAACGCGTCCCGTCCATGGAAAACTAGATCACCATGTTTCCGCAGGGCGGAAACGTGACGGATATAAGCAACTTTCCGTTTCCGTCGAGTTTACAAAATACGGAAACGCGTTATTTCGTCCTGTGTTTTGACCAATCAGAGCATAAAAATTGGACGTAGAACGTGACCAACGCGTGACCTTAGTGAGAAAAGACAAAAGCAACCGGCATGTCTTCCCTGCCTGTAAACACTGGCTGAATTTTAGCTTCCGAGGTGAGTTTGACAACAAAATTTTAATTGTGCGGCACATATAAAACACAACATATTTCATATGAATTAAAAAAAATTAAACTTGAGCCTGCCATCATTTGAAAACTAGTAACTTGTCAGCTGATAACTTCAAAAAGATACTCGACCTCGATGGGTCGACACCTGAGCCCGTGATACGGTCAGGTGATACTGGTCAGCAGATATCCTGTTTTGTCAATTGATAACAACATGTGGTGCGGACGGACGGACGGACGTGTACGGTCACGTGATTACCAAATTTTCTCGGATGGGTAGTTTACCACATTTTCTTACCCATGGTGCTCCGCTACGCGGGCTTTGCACGCGAGAGCTCCGCTATGAAAACCTTGCAAAGAGCCCGAAGCGTCTGGACACTGAACTCACAAATATCACAAGACGGCACTTTTGTTCATTACCCGTTTTTTGTATTGAACTTTCCTTTATTTACTTTCTCTTATCGGGACTTTTTCCGTTGTTTGTTTGTTTTGACATACTTTGACAGCTTGCTACGACACACGCACGCGACAACACACGCGACAGGGACGCAAACAGTTCGCGCCAAAATGATGCGATTTTTTGTAAGGGAAACAAGTCGAGCTCTAGCTCTCTCGCTCGCTTTTGCCGCAGAAAACAAAAAAAATCTACCGCTCGCGCTTAGCACCCGTGAAAAAATTTGAGCTCGACTTGTAGGCAAGTCTAGGTTTTTGTAATAACTCTTCTAAGAAAGGGTAGCCTGTCTACACGTACGTTAGGGAACTAGTTATTTGTCTAGTGCATTACAATTTAATAAATCTCCCGCAGCTTTACAGAAGGTCTGTGAACAAGATAAAGAAAGGATACGGCTAGTCCTTTATCACACCAGTTGATGGCTTCTTCAATTCGCTTCAACTTTAAACAGGTGTTCGCTCCTAGTGAAAAAAAGTCGAATCGTTTGAAATCATTATTTTAGAAAATATTCAGGTGTTCAACTCAGATTCATTTTTACCTCTGATAATCGCCTTGAGATAAGACGGCTGTAGTGCTGCTGCAGCTTTTACGTCACTTAGACAATCTGGATAATTTCCTGAAAAAAGAGTTTATTATACCCACATCAAAGAGAATAATCTGCACTAGAATTAAATTAAATCTTAACTGAGGAGGGAGCGTCTACTTTATATGTAAACCTTGCGTACGCTCGAGCTGTTTTCAAATCCGACACGACAACACACTTTATGCGATAAAAGAACAGTTAAGTGCCCATGGCCCCACGAAAGCAAGATTGAGTATTTTATAAGATTCCTTGCGAATGCAGCAAGATATATATTGGCGAAACGGGAGAGTGGATTGAATGCATCAATTGAACCTATCAGGGGACATATAAGGCACATACTGTTTTCAGGAACTCAGATTTCAGGTATTTACGAACACGCAAATGAGATCCGGCACTAAGCTCCCTTCCCGACCGCTGTTACTCCCTTAGACTTTAAAAAAGTCATGCACATAAAACTTCATCCTGATAACATCAATAGGACAATCTAGGACAATAGAAACCGTTGCATTGAGATTCAGAAGTGTCTTTACGTAAAAGGGCCGGAATGCAGAATAGATAATAGAATACTGGGTACGGAATAAAGTGCAATGTCGACTATGCGTTAAGTTAATATGAATGATAGTTTACCCAGGTGATAGTGGGCTGAAGCCCTGTTGTTGTACAATTTGGCATTCAGATCCTCATCCTTGCATTTCACTTTAATTCCCTCTGTGTACAAGTTGACAGCCTTGACAAAATCATGACTAAGAAGTGCATCATTGCCGGCATTTTTGTGAGTTTCCGCTATTGCTGAAATAGAAATACAAACAGAGTTTTGATTTCTGCCAGTATCTGAGTGAGTCAAAGCCAAAGAAGAAAACATAACATCTGATGCCTGACAAATTGTAGACCCACTTGAAGTAAAGACCCCTGGTTATAGGTACTCTTTGTGTTTGGAGTTTACTTACAAGTACGATCAAGAGATGTTTGGTTTGTTCGTGAATCGCCCTCCTCTTTTGCTGCTTTATCGCCTTCCTGTGTTAAAACCTTTCCGCGTTCTATGACAGAACAAGTCTTTATCTCCAGCAGATCCTGGTTGTCCTTGTCAATCTTACAAGAGTTAAGGGTGTAGAAAATAATCTGCTTTTTACCTGAAACTAGGTTGACGGCAGTGGTAGGAATGACACGTTTGAGCAGCATCAGTTGATATGTATTTTAAGATGGTTCGGTAATCCACTTGTACTTGTAAATGGCTACTCTTTGTGTCAGATGTCAGGAGGCGTCACCAACAAGTCACTTAATAGTTAAATAGATTTTATCGATTCAACCATAATTTACTAAACGATAAAAAAAGAGACATTGACCTAGTAAAAGTAAAGGAGGTAACACTTTTGTGCGGTCAGGGATTTGTATTTACTCTTCTACGAAAAGATAGTCTGTCCACGCACGTTTTTCCTTTCCTTTTGTTTGAGTAATTTGTCCAGTGTGTTGCTTCTTAATAAATCCCCCGCAATTTTTATTTTCGTACGCGCACACGAAGATCTCAAAAGTGAAAAAGGTTTGTGAAAGGTATAAAGAAAGGATACGGTTAGTCCTTTATCACACCAGATGATGGCTTCTTCAAACTGCTTCAACTTGAAACAGGTGTTCGCCCCTAGTGAAAAAAATTCGACGCATTTAAAATGAGTAAATAGAGGAAAAATTCAGGTTTACTACTGAGATTCATTTTCACCTCTGATAATCGCCTTGAGATAAGACGGCTGTAGTGCTGTCGCAGCTTTTAAGTCACTCAGACAAGCATGGTAATTCTCTGAAAAAGAGTTTTTTGAGAAAGATGACTTTTCAATCAGTCACACAGGTAGCCCAATAGGAGTCGCAGCTATTGCCTCATTTCATACCACGCGGGGGCATGGCACTACTGGATTTTCCCGGATCCGGACTTTTTAAAATGTCTTCCAAAATAGAAGGTAAGGCAAAGGTCACTACATGCAGTTGAAACGATATTAAGGGCCAGATTACTACTTTAGAAAGTTACTATTCTTTAGCAAAGAACAGTTGTTTTACTGCTATAAAGAACTTCGAGAAAAGAAAGATCTTATGGGGCGACTTTCGCTACTTGGAAGTCTTGGAAGGATCGCTACCGACGAAACATTTCAACAAAGAACCGTCGAGTTGAGTGTTTTTTTACGGCGTTGGATCCGACCGAATATTGGGGAATGATAAGGGAGTGGGTGAAGTTGTTTTTACAAAGCGTAAAATAAAGACTACCAAAAGGCGAAACACGCCATAGTGACCTGGAGCGAAAGGGCAACATCGTATTAGGTCGGCAGCTTACATTATGTTTTCTCGCGGTCGCTGCGTACGGTCTAAGTAGAAATCCTAATTATCAGAAAGGAAACAATTCTCACTGAACAAAGATAAAAGCAAGTATACTTTAGTCTTACTTGAGAGGAAATTCTCGTCCGCTAAAATAAAGGCGTACTAATTGTAGCTACAGGTATCCAGTCGCGAAGAACTGATTGGGTTGGCACGCAATAGCGCTTTCTGCTCAGTTATAACCTGTCCCGATCGGAGAGGCTGCAAAGATGATATGTGAAAGGGTCCTTTGCAAATCAAAACCCATCACAAATTATAAAGTGAAAATTATACAGAGCAGTTGCTTATGAAATCGGTGCAGATCAGACCAAGAGCAGAGATGAAACAGGTGAGGCAGACGAAAAAGTGCAGCTTTATCAAGTGCAGACTGAATATGATTTCAGGGATTGAGTCCCCTTATGTTTATATCGCGTTTGTAAAACCGCCCGAGTATCAGAAAGTTAACAGGCAGGCAGGGAGTATATAGAGGAATTAAGAGACCCGTTCATTCCCAATAAAACAACATGAACAACAAGTGAAAATAGAGGCTATGCAAACCAAATCAGTTATATTCCACGAAAAATCACTTTTCATTTCACCAATGTGTTGATTGCATTTTTTAATTTAAATTACCGTTTCAGTTATTCCTTTAAAAAATATGATCATGATTAAGAATGGAAAGAGGTTATCTTTGTATTCCCTTTATGTTCTTGTTAGGGACAATTTTAGTTAGTTTTCCTGTGACAAGAACTCATGCATTGAGCAGTTTAATAATAAACAAGAATTTTTTTTAGCGGGATAAATTGTGTATAGTTTCTTTGTGAGGACCTGTGAGGCCACCCAGTGTGATTCTGTACCTTCCAGTTACATTGCAATTTTAGTATTTTAGACAAAACTCAAGACATGTATAAATTCAGTGATAAAATGTCAAATAGTAATGGCTTACAAGGGGTCACTTGTTGAGCTGACTCTTTAAAACTTTTGGAATCTAAAAACATTTTTACAACCACGATTTGGGAGATCACCTTGTAATCACAGTCTACGTCTGCCTTTTGGCCAGCATGCACTGAGTATAGACCAGTCCCTTATTCTCCCGGCCCTACATGTGATTTAAGAACACTAGGTTTGACATGTACAAAACGCCACAAAGTTCACTACACGTAGTACCTTTCACGGACATTTCTCTTTTCTTGACGGGAATAATCCAGGCAAGCCCTCGGGTACTGCCCTTTTAAAGTTTGCTCCAGTATACTTTAGTTACGATCGGTACGCATCTGTGTTGCTGCCAATGACCCCCTTCTTTACAGATGCGAGTAGAATTAAGTAGAAGATACTTTGCCGTAATAGAAATTTCTAATCTTCTTGGTTTCGAGCGACCTTTTCATCGAACAATTGCTTGCACTTGCTGAGTGTTGGCTCTTTAAGTTCAGCTTCAGGGCATTGCAGAAATACTGCATCCTTTCCTTGCTAAGTTTAGGCAGATTCTCCGAGAGAATAATGATCAATATTTCTTCAAAAAAGACCTGTTCCCTTTCGAGTTTTTACTCTGACTATCCGCCACTTTGAAACTGGACTTATTAAAAGGTCCGGGCAAATCCGGTAGTGCCAGGTCCCCGCTCGGTATGAAATTAGGCAATGACCTTCAGGCTGCTAGTCCAGATGCTCTACCACTAAACCAAAGGAGACTCGTGGGTGCTAAGGCCACCACTGAACTAGACAAATATCAGGCATACTGCTGGGACTAGAATGTTGACATGTGCTTGGGCGCAATGATAGAGATGTGATGATGATAGAGATGTGATGATGTGATGGCCTCTTGTAGCCTCTTGAATAGATGAGAAAGATGATGTCATAACCAGTGACACAGAGAGTATTGGGAGTACTCGGAATTTTTCCTTCCGGGCCGCCTGTGTCACTAATATTGAAAAATCATCTTTATAATGTATTCACCAAGCACAAAATTCAGCATCACATTTCTATCAAGAGTTTTTATCCTTAATTTAATTAAAAAGAAGAATCCGAAAGTATTGAGTTGATTAGAAGAATTGTGAGTATTTTATGAGATTCCTTGCGAATGCAGCGAAGTATACATCGGCGGAACGGGAAGATGCATGCATGAATTGAACCTATTAAGGCACATAAAACGAAAATAAGGTTTTCAGGGACTCAGACTAGAGCTAGTAACGAACACGCAACATGATCAGACCATGAACTATCGGCTTTTCGACAAGGTTAACTAAAGATTCTCTATCGAGACCACATCCACCTTCCCCCACTGTCACCCGCTTAGGCTTTAAAAAGTTCGTCCACATAAAACTTCATCCTGATAACATCATCAACAGGGCAATAGAGACAGCTGTATTAAGATTCCAAAACTGTGTCCTTACGTAAAAGGGTCGTGATGCAGAATAGACAATGGAATGTTGGATACGGAATAGAGTACAATGTCGACTATGCGTAGAGTTGATATGAATGATACTTTACCCAAGTGATAGTGGGCTGAAGCCCTGTTGTTGTACAATTTGGCATTCAGATCTTCATCCTCGCATTTTACTTCAATTCCTTCTGTGTACAAGTTGATGGCCTTGACAAAATCATGATTAAGAAATGCATCATTGCCGTCATTTTTGCGAGTGTCTGCTATAATTGCTGAAATAACAAACAAATCAAGGTTTGAGTTCTGCAGTCAACTGAATAAGTCAAGGCCATAGAATAAACAATAAAACGGTTGATTTACAAACTGTGATTTACGAAGACCTTGGTTAACTGTTATGTTTTTCTTGGTCGGAGTTAACTTACATGTACAGTCGAGAGGTTTTAGATTGGTTCGTGAATCGCCCTCCTGTTTTGCTTCTTTGTCGCCTTCCTGTGTTAAAAGCTTTTCGCGTTCTACAACAGAGAGGCTCTTTATCTCCAACAGATCCTGGTTCTCCTTGTCAATCTTGCAAGAGTAAAGGTGTAGAAACTGAAATAAACTACATTCTAAACCTACAATACTCGTCACAAATCGTTGAAACAGACACCGCTTCTCTTGAATTTTCTAGAAAACTCTTGAGCTTTACTCCGCACAGTTTTGTTCTCACTTTAACCCTGTGCCCTCTCCCTCCCCCGGCTTTGTTTTAAATAGACATTATTTTTTTTCTACGTGTTAATGCAGGCTACACTTTGGTGATCCGAAAAGACGCTTCTCCAACAAGGTCATTTATCCAAACCGGCTTTGGCAACCACATTTACGGAAAGGTAAAAAAAAAAAAAAAACAACAACAACAATTGACCTAGCAAAAGTAAAAGAAGTAATAATTGTGCGGTCAGATTTTGTATCATTTTGCACTTCTGTAACGATAACCTACATGGAGGACAAAAGAACTTGGGACTGTGTGAAAAGCCCTTCCAAGCACGCGCAATTGCTACGTAGGACCCTGCTCCTAAAGACAATTTTTTGTGCAACGTTGGGTTTATACCGTCGTCCCCCCACTTCCTGTAGCAATGTTGAGGCCTAAAAAAGCACTCATTTTCACCCACTTGGCTCCAAATTCAACTTTCTTTGGGGTGGGAGGGGAGGGGTCGCTTGTTTTAGTAATATCACTGGAAAGGTCCCAACACTTTTGACCTCCATTGTCTGAAAAGAGCAGGGAGCAGTCAACAGAATAATGTTAGCGAAGCAGAAGTCACAGGAATTATGCTCATCGTTTAATTTAGCTGTTTGATCGCCAAAGAGTAAGACAATCTCCTGAAATTTTTTCGTCTCCGTGTTCACACGTTGACGCAGAACCTACAGAGCGTGCTCTAAGTATCTCTGGGCCGGGCCTTAGAGAATGTTAGTTTGTAAGGTATAGGAAGGGTCGTATTCTGGCTTGGCTAAGAAAGGCCTCTTGTGTCCTCTAAGTGCATCTTCTCAGATAGTGAAAATAAGTACTACCAGCATTAAATGCCTTTAAGAGCTCAATCCAAAACACGTCGTTCAAATAATCACTTAGTTCCTTTTGGGTAAACTGAATGTCCACGCCAAATACCTCCGTTTGGCAAGGTATCCGTAACTCTTTAGCGCGACAGACGGATCAGCTGCAGCGTATAGAAAGCAGCAATGTTGTGGCCAAAAAAAGCACTCATTTTAACCCATTTTGCTCCAAATTCAACTTTGTTTGGGGTGGGAGGGGATGGGTCACTAGCTTTAGTAATAATATATAGATTTAGCCAGGGCTAAAAGCGAAGCTCTCGATAATATTCAGGGGCACCCAATGGCAATTTTCGGAAAAATATCTGTTCGGAAGACGATTTGAGATCTAGAATTTTCGGAGCATTTGTTGTAAAATTTCTTGCTTGCCTGCCTCTCCTAGGATTTTCGAACATTTACAAAATGGTATAATTAACCATTTTTAACGGATTTTGACCATAAAAAAGGCCACCTAGAATTTTCGGGAGCCTTTTCTTGGCTGAAGCTTTCGAGAAGGTAAGTTTTTATCCCTATAATTTTCGGATCACTAGACTTTCAGCTAGGAAATCCGAACAGATGAAAAGTTTTTAGGGGATAAAAATATGCCTATATCTACCGTTTGAATACTAAAACACGTTCAACAATGCTATGTTAAGTGGTTTTGAACTATATCCCCGTTGGGTGCCCCTGAATATTTATAGTTTGCTCAACCAAAATATAAAATCATGTTATGCTAAGCGGCGAACGCAACCAGAACGGTGAAAAAAAAAAACAATAGGTCTAATTAGCAAAAAAAAACAACTTTGCACGTGCAGCACATTTTTTTTGTACATTTCTTTGCCATCGTTTTGCACGACCACAACGTGAAAATTCCAGAAACTTCCTAGTTACACGTTTTATGGAGAAAATGTCGTACCTGTTGTTGTTCAATTCTTTTCACTCGCTCATTTTTACTTTGGTGGCCGCTAGGATTTCTCCTTTTCTCACCGCCGCTAAAAAAATTTCATGTTGTTCTTCCAACAAATAGCTCCTTATCTTCCGCTCTAGCTGTCTGTCGCTTTTTTTCTCGTTGAAATTCGCCTGCCTGTCGCCCACTTTATTTTTTCTCTATATTCCAAATTTGTGGACATGACAATTAATCTTACTTTAAACAACAAGGATACAGAAACAATTTCCGCTTTCCGTTTTCCTCTTTATTGACTCTTTAGTTGTCTCTGCTTCACAGGACGCGGGTGGCTATGCGATTTCCCGCCAAAATAAACTCGAGTTGCATTTCGGTTGCCATACCTGTTGGCCCAGTTATTTTACGTTGGTATTCCTGTGGTTCGGACGGACGGTCGGGCGTACGGTCACGTGATTACCAAAATTTCTCGGATGGGTAGATAACCAAATTTTCTTACCCATGGTGCTCCGCTTCGTGCGCTTCGCGCGCGTGGAGCTCCGCTATGACGTCACGTAACTTGACACTAACTTAAGTTAAACTTTAGTTACGTCGTAGATGTGACCGCAGCCATTGTTTTTTTTAATCCGATGAAGGTGTGAGCGTGCAAATAGCTAGTGCTTTGTTCTCTTCAAAAAAAAGGTCTTAATCATTGAATCATGGTAAAACAGAGACCGAAAATTTGGTCAGAACGAAAATTCCGTTCAAATTTTATAATATCAAGACAGACACATGTGTTTTCCATTTTAAAAAGATCTATCAGGAATAATATCATGAAATAATTACGGCCCGAGGGATGTATATGGATTAATATCTCCGTTCTCGGTATTTATCTCTTACATACACTTAATGAAGTGAGAAGAGAGTAGGCGGCTTTTTTTCTGCGATCAGGTGCAATGAGACATTTGAGAGAGGATTGTAATGACACACTGGTTTTTACTAGTAAAAGCACGAAAGTAATGCATATAACAGGCTGAAAATTAAACTGAACTACGTTTAAGTCAGGCAGGCATAAAAACATCAAAAGGATACTGCTAATCCTTCATCACTCCAAGTCATCGCCTGTTCAAACAAGCCTAACTTTGCAGAGGCCTTAGCTCCTGAAATAATGTAATACATGTATAAGAATAATATAATTATATTTGGATCATGTTCAGGTGTTAACTGTCCTCTCCCTTCTCCCCAAGATGTAATTTTCAAACGAAGAGAAATCGATTTGCCTAAAAAAGTTTGCGTGAAGAACTTTGTAACTTTATGTAGAAAAAAGAGAGGCAAGGCTAACTCCTACGTCCCCCTTTACACCGTTAACATAACCATACTACTCGTACTGGTCCCAGTTTTTCAAAAGGTGGATAACACTATCCACTGAATAAATCTCTTACCAGGTCTACCAGTGGATAATCCAATTGGTTTACCTAATACTTATCTACTGGATAGTGATTTTCCGGTGGATAGCGCTATCCCACGTTTGAACATTCGGGGCCCGATAATTACTTTATGTCATTGACCCGGACTCCAAATTTCACAATGACCTCTACTTAGCTTTTCACTCTATAACATATAGATTTAGCCAGAGCGAAAAGCAAAGCTCTCGTTAATACACTTATTATAATTATACTTGAAACAATGAGCTTGGAACAATTGCAAAGAAATCCACATATGACTTTTGATGGAGGGCCTCAGTAGTTTTAGAGTAAATAAGAATCATATTCACTCACAGAGGTAGCCTTCGAAAAGAATTATTGCCCAAACTAAATCTCCAATTGCCCACCTACACCACTTTCTTTTGTTAAGGTAATTGGTCAACCCCTTTATTTGATATGATAAACCCCATTTCCAAGCGCAACTTTTAGGGGTGCCGAAAAAGGATTTAGTGCAATCATTTTTGCTGCGGTTGCGACCGAGGCGCATGCGTTGTTTTAACAAAAATGGTGTCCGCCAAATTTTCAAAGAATCGAGAGCATCGTGGTGAAACGGTTATCACTAGCCCCTGCGGAAACTTCATGAAATTTACACAACGCAGTTTTGTTAAGCACTGCCTTTTCAGATTAGGGTTAAGCACTACCTTTACTGATTAGGGTTAAGCCCTGCCTTTACTGATTAGGGTTAAACACTGTTTCGAAACTGGTTAGGTTCCTTTTTTGGGTTGGGGTTGATCCCATATGTAATTAAATTATTTCATTCTCATCCAGCAAATCCTCAGTGGTCTAGTGGTTAGCATAGTATACTGGACCATCTGGGTCGTGGGTTCGAATCCTACTCTCTCTCATGACAATTTCTTTTTCTTTAAAATTGAAGAGACTTGCACATTTTCGGCTTAAAGTTTCATCTAAGTGTGATTTAAAAGCAGTCTGTCTACTTTGAATTGTGTAAATTTCATGAGGGGAGAAAGGGGCTACGGCCGATGGGATCTAATGCTGACCTGGTCAAACAAGGTCACGGAAACGTTGCTATAATCATGAGCAGAAAAATGAAACTCCCATCCCTGCAAATTTTGTGCTTTGGTTCTTGTTTCGTCTTTTTTTTTTTAATGTGGTGACTTATTTTGTCTTTCAATCGTCGGCGATGTACGGTGCATTTTGAACTTAAAATCTGACTGTCGCAGTTTTATTTTTTCCGCCATTTCTAATGACGGTATCAATAGTATAAAATGGGTGCAAATGGAAAATTGGCACCGTTCTCACACGAAGAAAACATTTCGAGTCGTATGAATAAGAAGTGCCGTGTCCAAAAGTCGCTAGTACGGTACCAACAAATTTGGGGTGCCGTGCTGATATTTTGCGCTTGTAAATGGTCACTCAAGCATGTTAAGGCATGGCCTGAGGCTAATTTGCATAAAATCGTATAATGATCATAACTTTGTGAAAATTTATCAGAACCTTCCAAAATTTGGCAACCTCGGGAAAATCGGTAACCTTAATTTTCCTGTAACGTAAGAAACCAGATATCTGTGTCACGTGACCACTTTTAGTCGAGTCCAGGAAAAAAAAAAGAAATATAAAAATGTGGTGGCGAGATGCCACAAAGTATATATTAAACACAGTATTTTTGTTATTGTATCATTATTTTTCGCTTGAATCTGGCCGTAACTGTTGACGCACGTTTTTATTTAATTAGTAATTAAGCAAAATAGGTCACGTGACACTTTTCACCTGTTAATATCTTTTTAAGAAATTAAAAATTCCCCCCGTTCCGGCCACGGAAAATATTCGTACGGTAAAACAAACATTTACCCATGGCTCAAACTTAGTTGTAATCAATCATTCCTAAATCCATTTTGAACTTCTTTTTGAATATCATTATGAAGTCACGTTTCAAGCGACTACATCACTTCAACCCTAATTAATTCAACACCTCGAAAGAAAGTGTCTCGAAAGTTTTTTGCAACTTTGAAAATTAAAATGGCTTTAATCACGTGTAAGGACCTTTATAACTCTGTAAACTGAAAAGTCAGGGGGTTTGAATTCAGCCTCAGGGGAAATGCAGAGTTGAATGACTGAAACAATGGAACAGCCATTAGGATGAACATTTTTTACAAAGAATACTAAAAAACATGAAATTTAAATTGACGGTCCTCCTAATTTGCAAATAGATGGAAAGTCAAAGGTTTGACAAAATTTATCTTGCAGAAAAAGTTTGAAAAAAAATTCATCATTATCCGAACAAACAAAAACAGTTGAATGGTCTGAACCTTAATATTCTAAAACGAAATACGAAATTTTCTAAGCAAAAAAGCACCAAACCGCGGTCCATGTTATATTTCAAGAAGGAATGGGTGAAATGAGTCACAAGCAACAAAATTTAATTCTTACCAGTCTGCAATTTCGTAAAAATTATCAATGTCCATTACGTCGCTTTGCAGTTAGATTTAGCGTCACTCTACTCGAGAAATTTTTTCCTCTTGTGAAGCGAAAACTTTCGTCCGGCCGGCTAATTTGGACTTTTGGTAAGCGAAAAGTAAATTTATACCATGATCATGAAAAGCACTCTCGAGAGTTTGTATGAAAAGTAATCACGTTTTTCAAAACAAGAAAGTAGTTACCAAAAATATTTATCTATCTAAGTCTTGAAAATAAAGAGCCATAGAATGATATTTTTTGAAAATACTTTGAATACACGCCTGTTAATCTCATTTCATTCACCGCTGCATTTTGAACACTAAAGAAATCCACAAGCGCTGAAAACATCCTGCACAAGGTAAAGAATAAAAATTAAATGAAAAATTTACAACGACTATTCAAGAATGCAAGTATTGAGACTGAAGTGTTTCTTGAAATCCCTTTCTGTTTAAAAACCTTATGGTGCGGTGTCTATCTGAGAAATTTGCCTTTTATTTCCTTTTTTACATTATATTACCTCGTTTTTGAGCTATGCACTAAAAACTGCATTGCTCTCTTCCAATCATGTTCAATAAATTTTTTCTTGTATATTATTAGAAATCAAAACCTTACGAATGATAGTCCAGTAGTGCGGCTCCTAGCTCATAAACGACTTTTTGCCCAACTGATGGTATCATTTTTTTCTTTCAATGCGATGAACCTCAATCATGAATGTAGTAAACACTACGAAAAAAACAGCTTTCCGGGTCGGATAGCCTGCGTGGCAGGCGTTAAAAGGGGAAGGGGAAGGGGAAGGGGAAGGGAAAAATTGGGCGTTCAAAACACGGCCCTCCGAGAGAATTCGTCTTTTTGCTGCAAAAAATTGGAATTGAGCCTGCGATCAAATAAAAGCCACTAACTGGTCGGTGGAAAACTTCAAAAAAGTGATCAGTTGTTGACATCTGAGTCAGCGATACGGTCATGTGATACCATTCAGCAGATACCCTGTTTTGGCAGCTGTCAATTGACTCAACATGGGTGTCTAACATCAAGTTAAATAGAGGTTTTAGGCTGCCAGCCCACCACACCGGCTAAAAAATGACATTTCACATTGATTCGCCCGTGGTACGCAAGGACGGACGGTCATGTGATTTCAAAATTTTCTTGGATGCGTAGTAAGCCAAATTTTGTTACCCATGATGCACTGGAAAGCTCTACTATAGTTTGGAAAAGAAAAATCGTTGCTGCTGCTGCTGTTGAGTTCTTTGTTAATGCAGTTGTGCCGCGAGCGCTTACTTTGTTACTAGAGTAGCGTGGAATTAAAGCCTATGAGTGTTTCTTGGAGTCTATGATCTTTCTGAAATTACCTGTTGTTATTGCTTTGATAAACAGTGGTCGTATGTCCTTGACAACTTTTGCATCGCTAAGTGAGCCACTGTAATTTCCTATGAGTGTTGCAAAAAAAGAAAAAACGCCGTGATAAAGGAATAAAAAAACACATTCTCTAGTAACAACGCATTTTGTAACAAGGGTTACTGTATTTTGTAACAACTTACGTATTTTGTAATAAGAACTGCGGCGTTTTTGTAATGAAGCGGGCGCAGTTCCTTGAAGCAAGGTTTTCTTGTCTAAGAACATGCAACTCAAGCTTACAAAATATTGTCTGACTTCTAAAGGTGTATTAGAAATATTATTGAAATTGAAGGGGTCTTTAAATTTAAGCAAAATTAATAATATATTTTATTAAAACTAGCTAACTAGTAACCAATGATTAATACGGCTTACAAAATGGGTAACCTCCATTTATTACAAAATGCCACAGCTCTTATGACAATATGCGTAAGTTGTAACAAAATGCCGCAACGCTTGTTAAAAAATGCGTCGTTATTCTTCTCTTAAGAATAGTGCGAGGTTTTAAAACTAGTACGACACCTATTAGTAATAAGAGTTAATGAAAAATAACAAGTACGAAAATGCTCTTCTTTCGTTCAAAAAGTCAAAAATATATTCTAAATAAAAAACTTAATTAAAAGCCCCAACTGGCAGGTGGCAGACAAGTTGTATTTTACAAGCACGGTCGAGCAATCAGTGAACTTGGGGTTAGCGGGAAAAAAAATCCAGCATGTGGAGCGGAGCACAAATTCGATACGTCAGGATTTCGAATACGAGGTACTGACCACTCGGCTGCTCTGCCCCTTCTATTTTTAAAATGAAAATAGCCTCACCTAAGTTAAGATGTGCAACTGCTCTGTTGCTGTACAGTTTAGCTTTGAGATCTTCATCCTTACAGTTAATTTCAATTCCCTCGGTATAGAAGTAAACGGCATTGCTGTAATCTTTCTTTCTGTATGCTTCATTACCTTCGTTAAAGTAAACCTCAGCTATCGCTAGAGATGAATTAAATTGAGAAACTATTAATGTATATTACTACTCATTCAAAATAATTCCCCAATTCTGATTGGCTAAAAGCACACGCATAATTCACCATAACCAACTACTGATGACAAAATTTGGAAGAATTTTCCGATTAATCAACCGATGACGTCAAAAGTGCAGCTTTCTTGCAGATTAATGCACGGTTAACAGAGAAGACCTGGGGACAAGGTTGAGTTGTTTTGGTTGTGAAAACAAAAATGGCTGACATTTCACTCGTTTCAAGAGTAAGAACTAGGCGAAATAATAGCTAAAAACATGGCAAGAACACCAAGAAGACAACTTGAAGGGCGACATCTATTATTTGGAGAATATTTGCGGAGCTGAACAACCCTAAACGTGCACTATCGAAGATGAACTTAACAGCAATAGAGGTAAGCATGTTTTAGCTATGTTTTTAAACTAGGAATTATTTTGAATGAAAAATAGAACAATTATTGAATTCGGCTTTCGTATCATATAAAGAATTATGGAGATCTCGGAGGGTGTTATCCGTCGAGGCCGTAACACCCTCCTCGATTTCCATAATTCTTCATAAGATACTCAGCTCCATTCATTAATTGTTTTAACAATTCACAATTCACAATTCACTTAAAAGTGAAGAAGGACACCATGTATTTTGACCCTTTTTGCCTCGTTGTGCTGTTTGCTCAAATCTGTTGCATGTTAACTCGTAAACACCGATGAATTCCCTCGCTCAGTCAGACACCACTAATTTGTTTAACTTAGCTGAACAGTTCACCTTTCAAAATCGTCCGTCTACGCAATTTGTAACACTGTCCTGACGCAAATTGTAATAATTCTATGTCTGCATAAAACAACATACAAACAACAGAGAAAACGAATTTTAGTATTTTAGCATTTTAGTATTTTGAGATTACAAAGTGGACTTTTGTTTTTGTAGTGAAGGAGGAATGCAAAACAAGGCCCTATGATAGAGCGTCTGACTGTGTTTGAAGGCCGGTGAAGTTCCACACGTGCATTTCATTCGAAATGAAACACTTACGAGAGGAGAATTGCGTCAAAATGATCTCACTCTTACTGGGCCTGATTCGTTCGACTGAATTGGCGACTTGAAAGGTGCGTAAGAAATGATAATTGAAATTCACTTGACCGGGTTTCGAATTTAAGCAAAATCCATCAAAACTGCCCAAATACGAGAACCAACGATTCATAATGTTTATTCAAAGAAAGCAAACCAGGTTCGTTCACTTCGTTTATGAGGCACTAAGACAACCTCGTTCTCAGGTCTCTCTCTTCTTTCTCGTTCCAGGGGAACCAGAGAATAAACAATAATTAACAGCAACAACAACAACAAAACGTAAGTATGTGGAACGAAACGAAAAAAGAGTCAGTAATAATGGATCGTGTTGTATCTATTTTTTAATTAACGCTTTTCTAAACAATTAAAATTTCTTGTGGCAGTATTCATGAACATGACTTAACTCGTCGATGCCGTCGACTCGTTAGGATTACTTTTGTACTAGGGCCTCCTTGCTGCTAATTAAGCAACATTATTTTTCGTTTTCTCATTTGCTTGTATGTTGTTTTTGCAAAAACAAAATTATTTCACTTTGCGTCAGAACATTGTCACAAATAGCGTAAGTTATTACCGAAATGCGTCGTTATTACATAATGCCGCAGGACATCTATCATGAAAGAATTTTTAAAAAACTCGCAAAAATATGCAAGGAAATAAACGAAATCAATAAAACAGCAGAAACTTGACAAAATTTACACAATTCCCAAGACGCGAAAAGAAATCGCAATAGGCCGTTTTTTAGCAGTTGTCCTTCATACGATAGACCCTGCAGCAGAAAGATATCTTTGTATCCTGAGCGCAGACTTCACCAAAGAAACACAAAATTTCCGCAAAACTGAAGCCTAGAATTGCTTTAATAATTATTTTTTTTATGTTAGAAGCTAGGCACTTTATACAGAGAACTGTCGCTTAACGCGACATATATTTTTCAAGGCACAAGCTTTCGAAAAGGCTCATGTTGGTCTTTATTCTAGGATCGTAAGACAATAAGAAAAATATGTCAGCTTTGGACATGTTAAAAGCTGATATGAATATCTTGGTAATGGTCTTTGTAGCCGTTACCTTACCTTTCAAAGTCTCGTCATCAAAACACAGCTTTTGCCCCACATCAGGTGATGTGACGTCACTCTCATTTGCTCCTTTGCTACCCCCGTGCGCCATGAATTCTGGATCGGGGAAAAAAACAAACAAACTGAAACAAACTTAATATGCGTTTGCGGCTTCCTTCCAAACGTGAACAATTTTAAAACCGATAAAAGTCGCTCTCATTGTAAATACAATGTAGTGGTTATTAACAATTACAACCCTTATTTACTTCACATACAAATGATAGCTTGAGAGACGTCTTTATTCAATGGATGTACACTCCGCACACACTTGTTACACACTCAGAAAGATTTACAATCACGTTTTGGAAGGGAAAAAGCTCATTAAAAGATTTAAACATCAACACAAAGTGAAGAAAAACCCCAAAAGGTATTCACCGTAGCATCGTTTGAAGGAGACGATGAAAAAGAAAAGTATGCTAGTTTCAAACACATCTTCATTTAATGGCTGCCATCGCTTAACATACTTTATCGTTACCAAATTAACAATTGATAGTGTTCATCATCATCATGACGACGAAAATCCCTCGGGGAGTACTCCCTTACATTTGCCTTATGGGTATTGATCTGAAATAAGGTCTAGGGTCAGGATTTGGAGAGCCGGACAACACACCCCCACCACGAATTCCCAGGAATACCCCCCCCCCTCCCCCGCCGGATGACTAAGTTAATGATTGATAGCGTTCATTTTTTGGCACAAAAATCCCGGGTTACTCCGTTATATTTGCCTTATAGGTATTGGTCAGAAATAGCGTCTAGGGTCAGGATTAGGAGAGTCGGACGGCACACCCCCACCACGTATTTTATAAACTGGCCCAGCCTTCGGCCAGCCCAGTTAATAATGAACGAATATTAAGAGGAATACAATTCCACGCCTTAGCCGGTGCAAGAAAACGACTTAATTGTCTGCTGTGTTCTCGAATTTTGTATGGCGAAAGTGCCAGCCTGAGAAAATCTAGTGTTGTAATAATGTGTGTCAGAGACGAGAGTGACAAAACTGGAGATATTAAGGGGTGCTTTGTTATTAAATACGGCATGCTTTATGATACAAATGGATTTAAAGTACAGAAAATTCAGCGGAAGAACATCATAGAGGTCAAATAGAAGGGACAACATGAGATTTGGACGACGTAGTATCAAGATTTTATTAAGATAAGATTAGATTGAACAGCTTGGCCCCAAAGCGCTGGGCCATAGCTTATATAAGGTTGAGTCAGAAGTCTGTAAATATTTAGCAGTGTACAAGAAGGAGCAAAGTGCCTTAACCTCGACAAGATGCCAAGTGATTTGCTGATTTTTGTTGCGATGTACGCAATACATATTTGCAAGATAGATTCGAATCAAGCAAGACACCGAGGTGGTCTTGACATGGTCTCTATGATGTTCACATACGAATCATAAATCTCTAGCTAGATCAACATTGTAATCAAGTTTTTTATAAGGACGAAATATGACAAAATTTGATTTGCTTATGTTTAAATATAGTTTGTTTGTTACGGTAGATTTTGGTTATTCTGTCTGATTGTATACAGTCACAATAGCCGTTACATTTATCAGTTTTGAATCCATGGATGTAAAATATGAACTTACAACATCGGATAAAAGATACTATGATCCCGCCTTACACAGGAACTACAGTAAAGAAATTGAAGATGTGATACACGTAGATCTTTCATCAGCTACCTTTTGCTACCCTCGATTTGCTAATCAACAAGACCCTAGAATGGGGTTTATTGGTCTACCGACTGCACACTTTTAAGCCGAGGCTGTATAGTAGCTTCTACCGTTATGAATAAAAATAGGCAAGTTAGCCTTTGAAGCAGGAAACGATTGGCATTATTTTTAACTCGGACTTTCCACAACGCACCCTATGCCCCAATCCCTTGACCCCCAAAATAAAGCATTACAGTATAACTAGACTAACGTTCTGCACTTATATAACGTCACAGGGTCAACTTTTGGGGTTTTAAAGTCCTACTACGATCAAATCCTTGAATACTTTTTTTTTGCTAGATTGGCAGTCACGTACTTAAAGTACATGGTGTGCAAATTATAGCTTTCATATACGATTAAGGAAAGTGGTATTTTTTGCGCTCAAAAACCATTGATTTTCGTCCGCCATAAAAAGGAGAGTCTCGGGGGAATGAACAAATCATCTCCGCAAAACAAAAATCAAAATATCAAAGAAGCGTTGACCGAAGCGTCGTCGATCTTGAATATTTGACGGGAAAACAGGGCAATTGTTTTGAAGCCTAAAGAGAAAATGGCCATTTTACAGAGGAGAGATGTCATGGCAATTTTAAGTTCGTCAACAGGTTTTGGCCAAAGAAGAAATATCCTCATCGAAAACCTGTGTGATCGCAATTTCCCCTCTAAAAAGTACTGTAGACGACCAGATATCGGAAATGTTATTGTAGTAAAGGAGTGGGTGGTTTTGTATACGTATTTTGCCATTTCTTAATAAAGCTTATTTCTGTTTATGTTTCACAATAATGCTTAGCTGGTGTTGCGTTACGAAAAATATAGAGATGTCTTTGTTATTTTTATTGTTTTTGCTGGAACTATTCCCCTCCTTTGAATTTTATCTCCGAGAGAGACGTCACTTTGTACTACTTCAACGGTCTCGGTATTTTCGACTGCATAAGCCGAGCTTGTTAAAGTAAAAGCGTGTGCGGTCACCGTACGATTGATGTACCTCATGGATGAATTATTGAACTAGTTGAACTGACAATATGAGCACCGCGATCACAAACAAGCAACGAGGAGAAATCTCACACCTACAATATATATTTGTTTCAAGACAAGTATGTTCCCTGCTAGCAGAGGTCTCTCACGACGAGGCAAAAATGAGAGAAAGGAGAGAGACCTCTGCCGGCTTCCGACGCGTTTCCTATCACGCCTGCGCTGGCGTTTCCTTAACAACCAGTGACGTTTTTCTCACGTGCGACACAACCCACGGAACCGGTTTGCGCGCGAAACTTCAGTTGAAGGCGGGGGTATACGTTGTGGAGAATTCTTCGCAATGTGAAACGATGCCGAGAACTCCACAATCTCGCAAATTTGGGGAAAGAGCGTCACCTCGGACGCCCATTAAACCAGTTGGGTCTGGAAAAGACGTTAGATGCCTTTTGTGTGGTTTAGATTTTAAAGGTGAAAGGTGTTGACAGGCCAAACACGACTCATAAGCTCGTGATAGTGTGATACGTGACCTTATAGTTTTGCTCTAACGAGGATATCTCCCAGCCATTTTGCTCTTTTATATGAAATGATCTTAGGCTCGTTGTATATTTCTCTCAGTAGTGGTTGATCTTGAATTAAGTGCCATTTGCTCATTAATGGTAACGAAAGGCAGAATTTTCTTTCGCACTTCATTGTTCCAGGGGCACCCAACGATAATTTTCGGAAAAATATCTGTTCGGAAGACGATTTGAGATCTAGAATTTTCTGAACATTTGTTGTAAAATTTCTTGCTTGCCTGCCTCTGCTAGGATTTTCGAACACCTAAAAAATGGTATAATTGGCCATTTTTAACGTATATTTATCTTATAAAGGTCACCTAGAATTTTCGGGAGCCTTTTTTCTGGCTGAAATTTTCGAAAAGGTAAGTTTTGATCTCTATAATTTTCGGATCACTAGACTTTCAGCTAGGAAATCCGAACAGATGAAAAATTTCTAGGAGATAAAAATATGCCTTTATCTACCGTTTAAATACTAAAATACGTTTAACAATGCTATGTTAAGTGGTTTTGAACTATATTCTCGTTGGGTGCCCCTGTTGTTCTTTTGTAAAGCTGACTTCCGTTCGGTAAATTTAACCTCAGAGGTGATTTTTTCTATGAGATTGTGAGGGTAACCTCTAGCGCGAAGGCGTTTTTTTGAAGTTGTAGATGTTCTCATAGAAGGATTTAGCTGAGGAGTTCAAAGGAGAGACAACTAAAACCACTGGTTCTGTAGAGAAGAGATCCTTGTAATTGTAAACAACAGATAACTCGGCCGCCACTCGTACTGCTAGTTGATAAATTAAAAATTTGCCGTAGCCCGTCGGGAGACACGCAAACGTATCGCGTCCTTTAAGGAAACCAAGTAAGACTTTTCTTCGTAGGGAAGTTATTTCTTTTATATATACGTTTGTCGCCAAGCTTAGAAACGGATAATTTTATGGCTTGATCAAAGTGAGAAATTTCGAAACTCGCGGATCTCATGGAAGCCATAATTCACTGTGGGCTCAATAATTGTCTTCGTACAGTTTAACAAGGCACGCGCATTACACATTAAACGTAACCGGTTTTAAAAACCGGTAAGTTTCGACCAGAAATCTGGTCGGCGGCTTCATCAAACAACGCGTCGGAAGCCGTCAGAGGTCTCTCTCCTTTCTCTCATTTTTGCCTCGTCGTGAGAGACCTCTGCTAGCAGGGAACAAGTATGTAGAAATCGCTTGTTAATCCATGGAGAGCTTTATCAACGCACGTTGAAAACAGAACTTTCTGAAGCAAAGACCTTCCTCACTAGCTTCAAAGAACATTTGCGTGGATCCCTTGCGATCGTAAGGCTAAGTTCACTCATAATCGGCGACCAAAACATTCTCGTTGACTTAACAAGAGATACATTTGAAGAAACGATAATCGTAAATAGATCGACACAGCAAAGGTACAGCAGGTTTTATCGGTAAAACAAGTCGCTTTCCATAGCTGTTCAACTATCGCGTCCCTGTTGAACTGATAGGATCAAGTGCGTTCGGAAGCTTGATAATATAGTAAAAAGCAACACATCGTGGAATATATGAAATTTCCCCCTTTACGAGCCTTTTGTGTCGTGTTTAGCCTGTCAACACTTTATTTCTGATTGGCTGCGAAAACTAAAACCAAACAAGTTGTCAAAAGGATGTCAAAAATGAGTTGAAGGTGGTGGCAGTTAAAAAGGTCACGAATCGGAGCAGGCGGTTTTTATTTTTCTCGCGGCTTTGCCGCTCGTTTGCGCACGCCTTGCGCGCGGTTTTGCGGCTTCGCCGCTCAGTGGTGCTCCCGACAAAACCGCCATGTTACGCAGGCTAGACGC